AACTGTGAACGCGTGCGTACCCCGTATATAACTGTCAACGAGTGCGTACCCCCCACTAAACTCGGACGAAACACGTCGTGTGTGTAGCAGAGCATGGCTGGCATGTGGTTGTTTTGTCAAAGAAAATATTGATACAAAGTGTAACCCCAGGTGTCAGTTAGATGGATAGTTTAATTTTGTGTTTCGTATTTTGTATTCCGTGGACAGTGGCAGGGTAGCTGCCTCCTGTTGTAATGTTACTGCTGGGCGGTTGCCCCTTGTTTTTAGCGGATTTTCATATGTCGATGTGGGGCACATCTCCTCAAAAGAGGGGCGTATGTGACGGCGGCATAGTTTCGGATAGTGTCGGAAGGTGGCGCGGTGTTGCCGCATGCGCGAGGCGCGCGCCCTGTCTCGCTCTCTTACTTGGCAGACATTGATGTGAGCAGATGTGAGTTAGCCGGCGTCTCCAAATAAAGCCGTTCATTCATAAATTCCGGCGTTTATCGAATTACTGTGAGTGCTCCCATGAAGGCATAATAGTCAGAATTCACACTATTATTTGTTGGCGATTTAATCATATCTCTTCCTCCATGGATCATTAATTCATAGGCCATCCCTTGGTTATCTCTGGCTTTATTGCCCTTTAAATCATGGATGATGGATTACTTGTTTAATTTTGTTGTCGTTTGTTTTCTCTTCGTTGATTCTATTGTTTATGATTCTTATTCTTTGAAATGAATTTTGTCAACTGATTTATGAATTCTGCGATCTTCCTCATTCTTTATGGGATTTTCTCTTAGTAGCTCTTCAAAATATTCAACGTATGCTTGTTTGATTTGATCTGCCTTCTCTATCTTTACGTTTGGTAAATTCCTTTTTATGACACTAGATGCCTTACTTTCTTTACTAGGTATAATAGCCTTTTTCTTATTTTCCAGAATCCACTCGAGTTTATGCCCCCTTGTTTCTAGTTTGTCATCTAGTTGTTTATAGAGCTTAGTTTTTTGTTTCTTTTGTTACTGTATTCCTATTCGATTATTTATCAGTCTTATTCTTTCACTTGTCATATTGCTCTGTTGGTTATTATTGTCTTGTTTGGCTTCACTCAGTTTTTTTAAACGTCGTTTAATATCGAATAGTTGCTTGATTTCCTTGCTTATCCGGAGGCCACATCTTGCTCTTGACTTAGTAAAGCATTCAAATATTTTGTGTTTTATAATCTTTGTCCATTTTGTATATTTCTCGTTGAGACTACCTGTTTCTTCCCATATTTTGGCTAATTTGCTGTTGTTAGTTGCTTTTTTCAGTTCTGATGTGCGCAGCGAACGACAGCTGGCAGAGGGGGGGGGGCGATTGCCTATACATCACATGTCCGCGAGAGGGCAGTAGGGAACAGTCATCAGCAATAGAGGACTTTGACAGTTTGTTGGCGTTTATTTATGGGTTTCCAAAAAAACAACGAATATCAACGGATTTCCAGGTAATTTACTGCGGAGAGCAAGTAGTATCATATCAGTCCGTATATGGCGCGCGCAAATACGCAGATACATTTGAGGGCCGTAGCAGAGGAACATGACAGGAAATTCTCGCGCGTAGCAATGGTGAGAAACAGTCGGAAACTCGATCATCATCATCTGAGCGTTATCATTGCTTTCGGCATGTGGCATCTTCTAAAGCTGTGGACACACTACGCGATTTTTCATGCTGTAAGGTTGGATCCTTACACTGTAGGTTCTCCTGGCCGTCTGGTAGAATGGAGCCTCGAGTCCATCCCAGGCAGCCCTTATATTAGCTCTAGTACTATATAGCCCGCGGATAGCTGCCGCAGGTACCTGCGGTATCTACTCGGACGTATTTACATGGGACACGTGCGATCCATTATCCGACCAGTTTTAGCTGGTCGATATGGCACCCACGCTCTTTGCCATTAGCGTCAGCTAGAATAGCGTTCAAGGGTGACGTCATTCGCAGCACCGTATAGGGACCCTGGAACCGGGGGGTTAGTTTCGCACTGAAGTTCTTTCGTGCATCCGACAACGGGTGTGCCTTTAACATAACTCTGGCCCTTGGAGAGATTGTGCTGCCCCGACGGTGGGCGTCATAATATACCTTAGCTTTGGCTGCTGCGGCCTGTTGCTTGGCCTTAATCCGCTTGTACAGCGGGTTCGAAACTCTCTCCTCCCCCCCCCAACTGGAGGTCAAAATAAAAACATAATTTCCGCCCAAGAAAAATCTCCGCCGGAGTGTGCCCATTAGTATCATGTTTCGCGGAGTTTAAGGCAAACTGCAAGTCCGACAAATGCACATCCCACGTTCTATGATCCCCAGCGACATACGACTGCAACATAGCCTTAATGTTACGATTCACCCTCTCTACCCAATGCCTTGGCGGATTGGCGAAGCGCCGCCAGTAACGATGAGAGTCACAACTAACTCCACGGGGGGAGTCTCAACTAACTCCACGGGGGGAGTCTCAACTAACTCCACGGGGGGAGTCTCCACTAACTCCACGGGGGAGTCTCAACGAACTCCACGGGGGGAGTCTCAACGAACTCCACGGGGGGAGTCTCAACGAACTCCACGGGGGGAGTCTCCACTAACTCCACGGGGGGAGTCACAACTAACTCCACGGGGGGAGTCTCAACGAACTCCACGGGGGGAGTCACAACAAACTCCGCGGGGGGAGTCACAACAAACTCCACGGGGGGAGTCACAACAAACTCCGCAGGGGGAGTCTCAAACAACTCCGCAGGGGGAGTCTCAAACAACTCCGCAGGGGGAGTCTCAAACAACTCCGCAGGGGGAGTCTCAAACAACTCCGCGGGGGGAGTCACAACAAACTCCGCGGGGGGAGTCACAACAAACTCCACGGGGGGAGTCTCAACAAACTCCGCGGGGGGAGTCTCAACAAACTCCACGGGGGGGTCTCAACGAACTCCACGGGGGGAGGTCGACATCAAAAGCGAAATTTAACAAGGGCAGACGCCCATAGCTCACTCTTATACCCGCATCAAGCGGATCATACGGCTCCAGATGAGGCGGGGTATGCTTAACCATCTCATCAGCTACGCGTAGAGAATCTGCACGCAACGGGAAATGCACAACTGGGGAAGAGTCTAACAAAGGCCTGACAGTACGACTTGCGGACAAAGTCTACACTAAGACCCGACAGATTACAAAAATCAATGCCCAGCAGTATGTTAAACGGCAAGTCATCCACAACGAAAACACGGTGCGAAAACTCGCACTCAGCGAGACGGAACTCGAGCTCGATAAGTCCACTAGCCTACCTAGTGCTACCAAAAACCCCACTCAAAAGATTCCGCGATTGCGAAGGCTTCTTCCCTAAAGCTTTAACTAGGGACGAGTTGACCAGAGAAACCATAGCTCCAGTGTCTACCTCAGCCGTTACGAATGTGTCACCAATTACAATCACAATAGATATGTTCTGGTGAATGCCAATGCCTGGTCTGTAAGTAACAGTCAATGTCATCCTCCTGTGTCAGCTTATGCATGCCCACTAACTTATACACTGACGAACCCGACTCTCTTTGCTCAGCGTCTGCTACCGCACCTCGATCTGCAAGTAACTGTCAGAAAAGACTGATGTTGCTGTTGCTGTAATGCTTGTTGCTGCTGTTGTTGCTGCATGAACCCCATCATGGCCTGCATCTCTGCTGAAAGAGCAACTGCCCCCCCTGCTTGCTCCTCATCCGAGGATTCTTTCGTAACCCTCTTAGGAGGCATTTCGTGTGTGTATAAATTAGTACTCACATAAACGGCTGATGCAACCTGACTTGCTCTCCGCAAAATCAAGTCGCAACCAAAAGTTGGCTTACCTCACCGTTATGTCGTATATATCTCGTGTTCTAATAAGAAAAAAATGTAATCCCTTTCTTGTCCCTAACAAAATCCTATAGTGGGCAGAGGCCTCCAAAATGCGCAACCATGCAAACAATCAATACCCTGAATGCAATGTCAATGACACGAAATACGCGAAAATAAATGCTCAAAACATGCCAAAACCAACGAAATACACGATTCATAATAATACTGTGATATGCCTTACTGCGCCACCTACTGAACAACTATCGTACCTATCTCCCTATCTCCCGTTAGTACAGTTGAAAGCTAATTCGCTACCACACGCGACTGTCTGCAAAAAAAACCTCAAACACGACGGAAGTGTTGAGTACGTGAATACACGAGTCTGAGCGACAAACACGCGGGCTTGACCCTCAGCTGACAGACCTACTGTACGTTCACAGCAGTCTCCCTAACGACATGCGCGATGCAAGTCGAAAGAACTATGCAGTCTACCATTGTACGCTACGTGCGCCATACAATACGTCTATCCTAGCTTATCAACAAACACTACGATACCCATACTGGAGAAGGTACTTAGCTTGGTGTGCAGCCTGTTGTCCAGGGCCTCCACACTACGTACGCAACGAACCAGTTAACATCACCACTAGATCCTGTCGACTGCGCCAAAATGTAAAGTTGGATCCTTACACAGTATAGGTTCTCCTGGCCGTCTGGTAGAATGGAGCCCCGAGTCCATCCCAGGCAGCCCTTATATATGCTCGCAGTCGTGGCCTTGCCTGGCTTGCCGTGAATCCTGGGTCGAAGCCTGTATCGAATCCTGTAGTACGGCTTCGACTCGTAGGTGACGGTATAGACACCTTACAATGCGATCGAGCCGGCCGGCTCAGTCGGACGACTCTGTGGATACACTACGAGACTGAGTCGGGCAACTCTGTGGATTTTCAGCCTTAGGGCGATTGGACTCACAAAGGTGGGGTGGCCGAACAGGATTCATTCTGTGCCCGAAGATATTAAGGCATTTTACTTGGTTAGGAGTGAACTATCCGTGTCAAAGTATCTGCTCCTGTATCAAAATCGTATGGTAATCCCTACCGAGTGGAGATGAGATATACTGAGCAAGATCTATGAAGATCACCAGGGTATCACTAAGTGTAGGAAACGTGTAGGGAACGTGTAGGGAACGTGCCAAAATGTCTGTGTGGTGGCCAGGAATAGGGCAAGACATAGCACAAGAGGTTTCTACTTGCCAGTTTTGCCAGACAAACCGGCCTACACAACAGAAGGAACCATTAATCACTACTCCATTGCCAGCTAGACCCTGGCAAAAGGTTGGGATGGACTTGTGTGAGTTGGAAGGAAAGCGATATTTGGTCGTGATCGACTATTACCTTAGGTATTTGGAAGTGATGTACTTACCAGAAATCACGTCGAAACAAGTCATTGGTAAGCTCAAGAGCTTATTCGCAAGATGGGGCATCCCAGAGGAAGTCGTCTCTGATAACGGGGCTCAGTTCACATCGGCGGAGTTCCGGCTGTTCCAGAGTGAATACGATTTCATTCACACAACATCTAGCCCACACTTCCCACAGGCTAATGGTGAGGCTGAGCGGGGAGTGCAAATAGCGAAAGGAATCCTCCGCCAAGAGGATGTGTTTGCTGCATTAATGAGCTATAGAGCTACACCAATTGCAGCCACGGGTGTAAGTCCTGCACAGCCGATGATGGGACGGCAGATACGTACCAAATTGCCAACCCGTACTGAAAATTTAAATCCCAAATGGCCAGATCTTAAGAGTGTCAAGATGACAGATGACCTAGCTAAGACGAGCTACCGTCGGTTCTACAACAGACGTCATTCAGTGAAATCTCTTCCAGAGCTTGGACCTGGAGACATGGTACGGGTAAAGTTGGACAGGGAGAAGGGATGGAAAACACCGGGAGTGGTTGTGAGTCAAGCGACTACCCCACGATCATACATAGTGACCACTGATGATTCGGCAACAATGCGCTGAAATCGAAGACATCTGAAGGTCAGCCTAGGTGATGATGTGGCAGTTCCTGTGGAATCCCAGGATACACCAATGTTAGAGACAGTGCCATCTTCTGGTGAACGAACTGAGACTCCAGAAGATAATGCACACTAGATAGATGTGGAATCACATTCACCCGGTCCACGGACAAGCGGTCGGGTAGTGCGCAAGCCGTTGCGTTTTCGAGATGATATTGATAAATGATTATTGGTAGCGAGTAGGGTGGTTAAAGTAATCAGTGCTTTGTGAAAATTTTTAATGAGTTAATGCATAGTAAAGTATTGCGTGACCAGGGAGAAAGAAACGGTTGTATTATTATGTATTATTCGATTCTCAGATATGTTTAAAAAAATGTTTTACATTCAGTTGAGTAACAGACAATCTCAAAAGGAGGGAGATGTCACGATACTATTCGGTACTATATGAGTAATATAGTGTTAGAGCCAACCGGGAAGGTTCTTAGAATCAAAACTAAAACCGACTTGTTATTCATGATCTGTGTCTGTGTGAGCAGGTTGTGTTATTGTGCGGCTTGTTAAATAAATGTGTTCTGTTCATTAAAATATATACAGTTCGTGGCAGGCGCGGATTTAGGCCGGTTTGCACCGGTTTCCAGAAACCGGTCACAGGCTTCAAAATTCACCAGAATGCCACCCAAACTAATAGGCCTACTTTTTTTTAATTGGCCGGGGGGCGATGCCCGCGACCCCCCTAGCTGGCGAACGAACCTAATGGAAAGCTGGTCATGCCAAATCCTCTGGTCCTCCGCGCTAGGTTTGTATCCCTGAATCGCGACACATGGCACTTGGATTTCTCTCACCGCGCACATGCTCGTCACAGCTCAGGAATTAAATATTTTTGTGCACACCTAGAAATCGTAGATAAGGCGTTTAGAATTAGATTTAATGTAGAGTTAAAATTACGATTTTTTCAAATTAACAAAACGAATTAAATGTGAATATTTAAATAAGGCCTATCGGTCACTCGAAATTATCTGAAACTGAGAACAACTCGTGCATTCGTCAATGTTATATTTATAAGTTCATCGCTATTTCGCAAGCTGTTTGTCTAGGTCAGGGCATCACGAGCTACTTCTTAATAATAGTTTGGCAGCATTTGTAGGGTGGCGCATAGCTCGGACATGGTAGAAGTGGAGTAGCTACCGGCATTGCGGCACATCATAGCGGAGAAAATAACCGTATCTAAGAAATCGTTGAAGCGAAACGGTGCGGCGTATTACGTGGGCCTAGATACTAAAGCTTGTCATAGGAAGGCGCCATACCGCAATCAGGTAAAATTATATTCAACTGAAATGCTCAAAAAGCATCAAATGCTGCTGATCACGAAGTTTAATTTGCACGATGAAGAGCTGCGATATGATGGCACTTGGTTGTTTATGTGATGGTATCGATTGAATCTAGTCTGCGCTAATACAATTCATGGCAGTTTGTTTAGGCAGGAGTCAGATTTCAATGTAATTTAATTGCCAGAAGGTTTATTGTCCACTGTCGACTGCGGCATAACCTATAGGGGCATAGCATTATGATTGAACTAAGGGTGTGGCGTTTCTACGCAGAGGTGACAATATGTGCCCCTATAAGAGCTAGTGCGTAAATCATTAGTTGTATACAGGCACACGAGAGCTGGTGGCGCTGTGAAAATCATCTAGAGTTTTTTGGCTACTTCGACTGTAGTGCTGTCTGCCACGAAGGGGCTAGGTAGTGCCACTAGAGCACGGCGCCTATGTGTTTCTTTACCTGAAGCTAGAAATGTTGAGTAGCATAAGGGTTTTTGTGGAAATGGCATTATAAGAGTCATAAGAAACTAGAGAAAGCTGTCCGGAGGGTGGCTTCATTTTGCATAGGTGTAAGCATTTTGGCTTAATCGGCCCTAATTAGCATATTAATTAGGTGCAGGGAAGTCACAAAATCAAGAATATCTTTCTTAGCTTGCGACATTAGAGACTTGCATTCGTAGTGTTCCTAGACCCATGTTTTCGACCACTAAGCGTGGAATTGATCTGTTGTGATGGAGTGGGTCCAAAGACGCGCGCTACATCTTTCGCAGACGTGGCAGAAATGTCAATGATGGCTGCCATGCATAATGAGGTCAAGCGGGCGTAATAATTCACATTAAGCGTGCAGGTGCAACCTGTTGGAAGATAGAGGACTTTGTTTTGATGTTTAGACCCATAGTTCTTAACAGCAAGGATTGCCATGCCGTCTAGTAGAACTTCTATTATTTGTAAACAGTAGTTAATTATTATATATGAATATGTTAAAATATTATGATGCAGTCTTAGATCATGGGCGAATGACATAGATGAAGCACGGCGCAACGAGCCGATCAGAGAGCTGACGTGCTGGACTTATCGCGGCGCCTTCTTTTTCTATGGTTGTGGAGTCATGTCTCGTGCAGCAGTCGTCGTGATGATCGGCGGTCTTGTGCGCGGCTGTGCATTCATGGGCTCTTTATTATGCGTGGTCTTCAGAGCGCATGCATCTGTCGTTGTGTCAGTGGAGTTACAGAGCACTCGCATTTGCCTCCTTGGGCCAGCTTAGTAGCTGTAGCAGGTGACAATGCCTAGTTTGCTGCAGCAACGGCACACTTCTGCTGCTGGGGCAGGGGCATTCGCCGTTCTGACTCGGGGCAGCTGCAGCGTAGTATGACGTCCATGAGGGTTTTTTGGTGGCGGTAAGGTTCTTTTCGAATGCCGTCGGCGCTGCAGTGGTGACCGGACTTGCATCGTTACAGTAACCGTGTTCCGATCGGCATAGTTAGTGGGATTTAGACAGAGGGAGGGTGGCAGCTCTTGTCTGCAGCCTTCCGCATAGCATCGATTTGGAGATTGTGCTCTCCGGATAGGGAGTCTTTCGCAGGTTGAGTGTGCTGTTGTGGACAGGGACTTAGCACGGATGCGAGCGGATTCTCTTGTGCGTGCGATAAGCATCTCGGGTACCTGAAGCATTCATATGAACGGTGGCAATTTCTTGCTGCGCGCATGGATAAATGTAGGAAGGAGGCTTTACCTAGTTTGCCGATCAGGTCTAGTGTGCAGTGGGCATCTTGTCGCTGCGGTCCAGAACTGGAGTCCTAGTCCAGCGGCAAATATTGGTCCATGGTTGAGGCACCTTTCAGGGCGGCACGACTTTTCCCGTTGTGCCGGCATTAGGCATAGGGACATGCAGGTGTCACAGCTGAGAGTGGCGTGCGATTCCCATATTGTTCCTGGCGATTTCTTGCCGGGAGGCTTGTGAGCGAGTGGGGACATTGGATTGTGTCAAGCACGGAGTCATCGCGACTTTTTGGCCATCTGAAGCATGGCAATTGATACTGGCCATCCTTACCAGCACCAGTACAGCGCGAGCAGTCACGAATGACATCTGCGTCACTGCACTATCAGGATGCGCAAGTCCGAGGCTCGCGGCACCGACTGCGGGCACGAAGTCATGTAAGCTGATCGGAGAGATAGGTCTGCTTGGCATCCAATGATGGCAGCGCATAATGTTGGCTTTGGCTCACGAGTTGCAATCGTTGCTACAGATTGCATGTGTTGTGGGCAGAGTAGTTGTGAGGAGGGCTGGCCTGTTGTTGTTCTTTGTTTTTGATGGATGGGCATGCAACGCCGCAGCTGTACAATTCGAGTTTCGAGTCAGTTGATATGCAGTGGATCATTCCTGGCGCCCCGGCTCATCCTGCTGCTGCTCGTGGTGGCCTGTTGCAGACCGATACGCTTCATTGCGGCGATGCAAAGATGACATAGAGTGTGCTGCTTGTTCTGTAGTTGATGAGGGCTAAGATTTCTTCTTAAGGGCAAGATCACGCCGACTGTACGGCGAGATCGGGCCAGACATTGTGGTAAAGTAGCTGAGGAAGGCGATTACGCAGCGCAGCAAAGTGAGCAGGAGGGGAAGAGGGGTTCGCTTATGATGACGCCGAGATGGTTTAACGCAAGTACTCGGACTTGTTCCCGTTGGCGGACGAATGCCATACTCGTCGATGAGTGATGGAGAAACAGGGGCGAGCGCTGCATGATGGGAAGACAAGGCAGACAACTCGAAGCTTCCTCTGGCTGTCCACGATCAGGGAGACGGGCCGAATTAGCGGTTTTCGCAGGTGCATAGACAATTTTTGTTTTGTCCTTTTACTCTTTTTGATATGGGTAGGGCAACTATTGAACTTGTGAGCGCTAAGCGCAACAGTAAATTGTGCGTCAATTGATGAGATGCAGACATATTGCTCATACAGCTTATAAGGGGCTTCGTGCTGGGGCATCGGGCGGGAGGTTGCGAAACTGTGCGCATCCTTAGTGAACGACACAGAAGTATTCGTGCTGCTCGTGTAACTGGTGCTGGAAGAATGGCGTATCATGCCATGGTTTAGATGGAGAGGTGGATGGAGTCGTGGCTTGACTGCAATGCGCACTGGCACGAAGGAAGCAGAAATGGCAAGAATATTGGGAATCTGCACGCACTCGTCTGAGAGCGTGTGACATGCTGTTGGTCGCCTAGTCCCTAACTGATAAATGGGAAGTGTCCGCCCTGAAAGGTGGCTCACCAGACGCGATATTGGGCCGGACTAGCACTGTGCAGGTTCTTGGAGGAGGACGATGCGACTGAGCAGGTGACCTGATGGGCACTGGCAAATGCCTTCTTCTGACATTGCATAATGGCCAGGAAGAGAAGGCACAAGGTCAAATGAATGACTTCCACGTACGAGATTTAGTCGGGCAAGCCAAAAAGAATCCGTCACTCCGTCGGAAGTCGGGCGCGCTTCCACTCAACAGAACATACACCTGAGACTGTCTATTCGGGCGGAGAGACATCTGCCAAATGGAATGCTATGGAAAGGCCTGCAGACAGGGCTGACCCTCCTGCTGTCAGCTAAATCATCATAAGCCTATAAGATGCGGAAGGTTTGCTGTAAAGGATGAAGTGGTACCGAGTGGCTGTGCGCCAGAAAGAAGGCGCTACGCGCACTGC